GACTGGGTGTGTGGACTCTACAGACTGTATGTGTGTGGACTGTGTGTGTGTAGACTGTGTGCATGTGGACTGTGTGTGGACTGGGTGTATGTAGACTTGGTGTGTGTGGACTGGGTGTGTGTGGACTGAGTGTGTGTGGACTGTGTGTGGACTGGGTGTGTGTGGACTGGGTGTGTGGACTGTGTGTGGACTGTGTGTGGACTGAATGCGTGTGGACTGTGTGTGGACTGAGTGTGTGTGGACTGTGTGAGTTTGGACTGTGTTTGTGGACTGAGTGTGTGTGGACTGGGTGTGTGGACTGGGTGTGGACTGGGTGTGTGTGGACTGGATGAGTGGACTGGGTGTGTGTGGACTGAGTGTGGGCTGGGTGTGTGGACTGTGGACTGAGTGTGTGGACTGTATGTGGACTGAGTGTGTGGATTGGGTGTGTGGACTGTGTGTGGACTGGGTGTGGACTGGGTGTGTGTGGACTGGGTGTGCGGACTGGATATGTGGACTGGGTGTGGACTGGGTGTGTGTGGACTGAGTGTGGGCTGGGTGTGTGGACTGAGTGTGTGGACTGTGTGTGGACTGTGTGGACTGGGTGTGTGGACTGTGTGTGGACTGGGTGTGTGTGGACTGGGTGTGTGGACTGAGTGTGGCCTGAGTGTGTGTGGACTGTGTGAACTGTGTTTGTGGACTGTGTGTGGACTGGGTGTGTGTGGACTGAGTGTGTGGACTGACTGTGTGTGGACTGGGTGTGTGGACCGTATGTGTTTGGACTGTGTGGACTGTGTGTGGACTGGGTGTGTGTGGACTGAGTGTGTGGACTGTGCGTGGACTGCATGTGTGTGGACTGTATGTGTGGACTGGGTGTGTGTGAACTGTGTGTGGACTGAGTGTGTGGACTGAGTGTGTGGACTGGGTGTGTGTGGACCAAGTGTGTGGACTGTGTGTGGACTGGATGTGTATGCATGTGCATGTGCATGTATGTATATGCACGTGCGCCTGTTCAACCTCACTGGATGTGTGGTTCCCCTGCAGCCCTGGCACTCAAACTGTGCTCTCATCTCCTGCCTCCCCTCTCTGCCCGTGCCCTCCCCTCTCCACTTGCCCTCGTCTCACCTTCTGGGATGATCCGTGATTCCTGCTCTTCAACCCCCCCCAGCCCCTGTGGTCGGCTGTGATTCACAGTGCCCACCTCACTCAAGAGGACAGCTTCAACCTCAGAGCACACAGAGGTTCCAGAGGCCTTCAGAACAAGCCTCCTGCCTTTACAGACTTTTTTTTTTTTAATGAGACAAAGTCTCACTCTATTGCCCAGGCTGGAATGCACTGGTGTGAGCTCTGCTCACTGCAACCTACGCCTCCCGGGTTCAAGTGATTCTCCTGCCTCAGTCTCCCAAGTAGCTGGGATTACAGGCTCGTGCCACCCTGCCCGGCTGATTTTTGTATTTTTAATAGAGACAGGAATTCACCATGTTGCTCAGGCTGGTCTCGAACTCCTGACCTCAGGTGATCCACCCACCTTGGCCTCCCAAAGTGCTGGGATTACAGGCAAGAGCCACTGCGCCCAGCTACAGACTCTTGACTACAGGCTTGACACACCTCAGGGCAGCACCGCCCTACCCTCAAGCCAAGATGCTCCAAGTGTCTCTGCTGCAGGGCACGGCCACATTTCCAAACACAGGCGGAGCCCATGGAGCACATCCTCACTGACGTCATGGCAGAGGGGACAGCCCGTGCAGGGGACCAGGATTCTCTCCATACAAAGAGAAGACATAAATGTCAACTGCACAACTGCAAGACAGGGCACTGACTCCAGCACAGCACTCACTCAGCAAGCGTCTCCTGAGCCTCCACTCAGTGCCAAGGCTCGGTACGGGCAGGTGGGGAAGGGCAGTGGGCTCCGTGCTGGATCTGGCAGCCTCTGAGAAGCTGCAGGCCATTTAAGGGATTACTGATCAGCATAAATGATTATAGCATGGGTGCCGAGACTCTGTGCTAATACAGTACAAAGACGGCGAGGAGGAAGGTTCCCTTCCGTGCAGGCCGCAGAGGGCTTGGAGGAGAGAAGGCTCCTCCTGAGATGGGTGAACTCAGACAGCAGAGGTGTGGGAGAGGCCAACCAGGCACAGGGAACAGCACCAGCAATGACAGCCTGCTGGGCTTGGAAGGAGAGCCAGAGGTGCAGATGGAAAGCCGGACAGGAAGAGTCTGCTACAGATTCGCCAACAGCCTGAGAGTGTAAATTCTCCTGCGGGAACCTTGAGTCCCAGAAGGTCTTTGAATAGGTGAGTAGCATCACCTGATTTGTGTGTTTGAAAATAAAGCTGTAAACTGTGGGGAGAATGGAGCAGACAGAACACGAGGAGGCTGCTGGTCCAGGTGAGAAGGCACTGGGAAGGAGAGGTACACCAAGGAGGGGCGGAGGAAGCAAGGCAGGGGACACACTGAAAACAGGCTCATGGCTGGTCACGTGCAGAGAGGAAGGGCAAGGAGCTTGAGGTGACCAGTCTCATCTCCAGTCCCCTCTCCATCTCCATTCCCATCTCCATCTCCAGCTCCATCTCCATCTCCAACTCCATCTCCATCTCCATCTCCATCTCCAACTCCAGTCCCCCTCTGCATCTCCATCTCCATCTCCATTCCCATCTCCATCTCCAATTCCATTCCCCTCTCCATCTCCATTCCCATCTCCATCTCTATCTCCATCTACAACTCCATCTCCATCTACAACTCTAATCCCCTCTTCATCTCCATCTCCATCTCCATCTCCATCCCCATCCCCATCTCCGACTCCATCTCCATCTCCAACTCCAGTCCCCTCTTCATCTCCATCTCCATCTCCATCTCCAGGCACCTCTTCAACTCCATCTCCATCTCCAACTCCAGTCCCCTCTCCATCTCCAGTCCCATCTCCATCTCCAATTCCAGTCCCCTCTCCATCTCCATTCCCATCTCCATCTCCATCTCTATCTACAACTCCATCTCCATCTCCAACTCCAGTCCTCTCTTCATCTCCATCTCCATCTCCAACTCCATCTCCAACTCCAGTCCCCTCTTCCTCTCCATCTCCAACTCCAGTCCCCTCTCCAACTCCATCTCCATCTCCATCTCCAACTCCAGTCCCCTCTCCATCTCCATCTCTACCTCCATCTGCAGTCCCCTCTCCTTCTCCATCTCTAACTCCAGTCCCCTCTCCATCTCCACCTCCATCTCCAGTCCCCTCTCCATCTCCATCTCCAGTCCCCTCTCCATCTTCATCGCCATCTCTAACTCCAGTCCCCTCTCCATCTCCATCTCCACCTCCATCTCCAGTCCCCTCTCCATCTCCATCTCCATCTCCATCTCCAGTCCCCTCTCCATCTCCATCTCCAGTCCCCTCTCCATCTCCACCTCCATCTCCAGTCCCCTCTCCTTCTCCATCTCCATCTCCATCTCCAGTCCCCTCTCCTTCTCCATCTCCATCTCCATCTCCAGTCCCCTCTCCTTCTCCATCTCCAGTCCCCTCTCCATCTCCATCTCCATCTCCATCTCCAGTCCCCTCTCCTTCTCCATCTCCAGTCCCCTCTCCATCTCCATCTCCATCTCCAACTCCAGTCCCCTCTCCATCTCCATCTCCACCTCCATCTCCAGTCCCCTCTCCATCTCCATATCCAGTCCCCTCCCTACCGCCATCTCCATCTCCAGTCCCCTCTCCATCTTCATCTCCATCTCCAGTCCCCTCTCCATCTTCATCTCCATCTCCATCTCCAGTCCCCTCTCCATCTTCATCTCCATCTCCATCTCCAGTCCCCTCTCCATCTTCATCTCCATCTCCATCTCCATCTCCAGTCCCCTTTCCATCTTCATCTCCATCTCCATCTCCAGTCCCCTCTCCATCTTCATCTCCATCTCCATCTCCAGTCCCCTCTCCATCTTCATCTCCATCTCCATCTCCATCTCCAGTCCCCTTTCCATCTTCATCTCCATCTCCATCTCCAGTCCCCTCTCCATCTCGATTCCCATCTCCATCTCCAGCTCCATCTTGAACTCCATCTCCATCTCCAGTCCCCTCTCCATCTCCATTCCCCTCTCCATCTCCAGTACCATCTCTTGACTGCCCCAGCTCACCCAGCAGCACAAGCGTGTGGGCTCCTCCCAGGTGGGGCAGAAACACAGTCACCCCTGAAAGAGCAGGAGCACCCACCCAGGTGTGCACACAGAATCGGCCTTGGCCATAGAGCAGAGCGAAACAGAATGAAATAGAAAATCCTGCCAGGAAATGCCTTTAGTGTTAATTCTGACCAATAACACAGTGAGTTCTTTAATAAACGCTTTGAAAAATCTCACGGTTTTGAGTGTCACATCAGCACCTTACCTCCTGACATGAACCTGGCGTGGGGAACAGTGCATGCATTTTTTAAAGAACGGCAGCATTATACTCTGGTTTCTCCTCAGATCGTATACATCTTTTGCCTTTTACTAAAGAACGGCAGCACATGGGTATCCCCAATGTCTCTATCAGTCCTACTCACTGGCAAAAAACAAATGACATGTGGAGAGGAGAGCGGTTATGAAGCATCAGGACCAATGGCTTATGATGCAATGCCTGAAGTGTAAAAATGGTTTTTCCCAAGCTCTGAAGCATGTTTCCCTCTAACAGAACACAGTGCTGCATCTTGCTGAGGGCTAACACACGGTAACTGCGATGGCCTAGGTACCCCCCTCCTCCAGTAAGGACACTTGTTATAAATGAGGAAGATCTGTGATTGCTCCACAGACGTCTAGGAGAGCCACCTCGAGGCCTCTTCCCCAACATGGACACGGCGCAGCCAGCCCAGGCACTATGTGAGGGCTTCCCACTGCAGCTCAGACACGAAGGCCCAAGAAAAGGAGCTCCAAGGAGAGGAAGATTCCAGTTCTGGCCAGCACCAAGGCTTTTGGAGATTCTTTATGCCAGCACACAGACAAGCCAACATTCCTCAGTGTGCAACCAGATCAAAGGCGGCGACAAGGGTGAAGGCACCACCACTCACCAATCTGTGCTTGAGGTGGACCGTAATGAGCGGAGAGCCCGATAGGTTCTGAGAGAGGGTGGGCGGCGGGGTCAACTCCAGGGAAATCAGGTGGCTGGTGGCGAACAGCAGGCAGTCCTGGTGATGCATGGCCTCCGCGATCCTTGGGAAGAGATGGAAATCATTACAAAATGGGAAATGCAGGGGAGTAGCACACAGCTAGAATCCGGGCTGGGAGCCAGCGTTCCACCCGAAACTCTTGAGACGGAAATCTTTGGATAGAACTTTGATTTCTATCGTTCAGCTCCAGCTGCTCTCCTTCAAGATGTGAAGCTGGTACCTGCAGGTGAGTTCAACTATTCTGTGTTTGGACTCTGTCCCTTGAATTGTTGTCTTCAGTACCTGCTCTCTTTAAGGTCTGATACCAGGACCAAGAGGTGAGACGGAGCCCTTGACCTCAAAAAGTTTATAAGAAAAGGGAGATGGCCCAGGAAGTGTGGACGAGCAGAAATGCTCAAAACAACAGGGCATGAATCTCAGCAATTCCACTTAATCAGCTGTGTGACCTTGGGCAGGTAACTCACCCTTTCTGAACATCAATTTCCCTGATTATAAGATGGTGCAGTGGCCATATGCTGTTTTGCCCACCCAGTATTCATTCACTGTTTTCCTGATCAAAGCATCTGCATTTCCCTCTAGGTGGCCATCCCCTTCCCCGCTCAGAGCACACACAGCCTGGAGTTGACTTTATCTTGGCTCAGGAGGAAGCCCTGGTATCTGGGTCTGGATCAGTCAGAGCACTGCAGCCCTCAGGCCACAGAGACTATTTAGGAATGGCACTCAATCCAGTCAAATCCGAGGAGATGCCACAAGGCGAGGTAGGGGGAGAATGCAGGCTCAAAGACCCTCATTCTCCCTGCCAGACTTCTCCTCATGCCCTGAGGCATGAGGCCCTGGGAGCTGCTTGCAATCACGAGGAGGGAGACTGAGAAGGGAACTGCCGAGAGATGGAACCCAGTGACATCAATGCGACGCTGGATCAAGCTGCTCTTGAAGCCAGCTGCCTGCGGAGCTCTCGGCTTTTGTGATCCAATAAACTTTTTGCCTATAACTGTTTAAGATGGGTTTTCTGTCCCTTGCAACCCAATCTAAAGAAGCCTAACTGATGTCTACAGTGGTTGTCTCGTGGGGTTATGAGCTTGAAAAGATATTCAGGGCCAGGAGGAGGGTAAGGGAAGCCAGGCACCTGGAGGGCAAGATTTAAGACGCTGCTCACAATGGGCACGACCCCCCCAAAGGTGACTGGCTCCTTTAATTTTATGCCCTCGGCCCATTTGCCTGATTTGATTCCAGCCCTGCCTGGCACACAGCAGGTCACCAAGTATCTGTTGCACGAATTTGAATTTGGGGTGACTACACAAAGATGCCTGAGACGTGCTGTCACTGGGCCCCCTGCGGTCACCCAGCGTCTGCTTCTGTGTGGGCCTCACCTAGGTCCTGTGTGCCTCCCCCGTCTGCCATCCAAAGTGCTGACTGACTGAGGAACCTGCAGGTCCCTGTTTTGATGCCCACTGAACCACCTCTGGGACATCCCACAGGGCCCTGGGAGCTGGGGGCACCATCTTTTTCCTCCCTCAACTTGTTTTTCCTTCTAACTAGATTCAAACACCATGTTCAGTGACCCTGCCTGGGATGGGCAGTGGGGCTCACGGAGCAGCAGCACGCCCTACCTCACCCCCAGCCTCTGCACTGTGTCCTTACACACATCCCTGAAAAAGAGCAGGCCTCCAAGAAGCATGCAGAATTATTCCTGGAATTGTAAATACAAAGTGTTTACAAAGATGGTGCCACAGAGAATGAACACCCATCCGTTCCCGCAGAAGCTGCTTCCTACAGATCGTCACCAGTTCACACGGTCTGGAGCAAACCAGGGGCATCGATTCTCAGGCCTGTGAGTAACAACAGGCACGACTGCTCCACCTGGCGATTCCTCTCTGTGACCATGTCATTGATCCAAGCCCAAAGTCCAGATAACACACATGGAATAAAACACAAACTTAAAAAAAAAAATGAAAAGAAAGCATCACCCTAGGTCCATGTTTCTCAACCATTTTTTTCATTATAGCCCCTCTGAAGAGGCTTTTTAGACTTTTTTTACTAATAAACTTGCCCAGAAAGTTTTAGTCCCCCAGAGATACAAGCTGTGTTTATGTACAGAACGTACATAAACATTCCACTCTGCAGAACCGCAGACCCAGGTAATATCTCAGATGTTTCCCTGGAGGAACAACGTTCACCTTCGGAGAACATTCACCACTGGGCATGCGTGGGCTCAGTCCCCGCCACAGAAAGTGAGGGTGGGCTCAAGGCTGCTGGGACCAAGGCAGAGCCCCGCGGCGCCGAGCCTGACTCGCTCAGCAGAACGTTGGCCCTGTCCCACGCGTGACTCCACGGCCCCAAGATGTGCAGTGTGTTCGCTTCGGCCAGGGGCCTGGTTCTCACTCCCTGTGCCCAGTGCCCCCATGCTCACGGCCTTTTCTGCAGAGCTCCATGAACTCAACACGTGTGCAATTCCACCAAACACACTGGGAAAACCACGTTTCTAGCAACACTTAGGGTTGTGCCATTAGCCAGCAGCAGAAAGTCACAGCTGTGGGCTTCAGGCCCTAAACACGCAGCATGATTCGTCCCTCGGCTTTCCCTGCGTGGACACTTCCTGATGGTGCAACCAGGGGTCATCATCTCCCTCCCAGAGCAGAAGTTCCCTCGGGGCCCGGACGCTTTCCCATTTGGGTCACTGCTCTCCCCAGCTCCCGGAACCACGCCTGACACAGTGGGTGCTCAGCACACATGTGAGTGAGGGAGGGAGTGAGTGAGTGGGTGAATCTACGCACAGGCAGGCAGCGATGACTTAGATCAATTTCTTGGGAAAAACATAAGGAAAACATTAAGTGAGAACCTTCTATGAACACAAATGATATGAAAGCAAATCTGGAGCGGTTTCCTGGATTCCGCTCTGAGAACACGCGGCCTCCGCCTCCACCAGGCCCAGTTTGGTAATCAGTGCGACGCCAGACGTTGGCCAAGTCAAGATGAGAATGGGGCCAGACGCCTCCTTAGGAGCATTTTCCTCTGGTAAAGGTGGGGGCAGGGGTGAGGTGGGGCAGGGTGGGGCAGGGTGAGGTGGGCAGGGTGGGGCAGGGATGAGGGGGCAGGGTGGGGCGGGCGGTGCTGGCTCTTCCTCTGCCCCTTCCATACCTGTCGTCCCACGGCCCCATCCTATGCCCGATCAGCCAGCGTCTGGCTCTCTGCCTTCATGTGTCAGCAAAAGGGAGAGCCCCAGAAGAGCGGTCAGAGGCGCGTCGAGGTGAACAGTGGGGCGCAGGAGTATCATTCCCCCAGCCACCAGGGCAACAGTTACTGCCCAGGGGACCCTTTCCACTCTGCCCGGGCATGGTTGCTCTCCCCTGCCTGCGCTGGCCCCTGGGGGAAGGCAGCTGCGCCCCCATTCTTGTTCCTGGCCCGTGACCGTGCTGTCCCCCCCAAGCTCTCCCACTCCCCTGATCGGCAACCTTGTGGGCAAGATCCTCCTTCCTTCAATGCGTGCCCCAGTTAATAGGGATGGCACCCACGGAGCCCACTGACAGGCCTCTGTGGGCCTTCACCCCCGTGCAGCACATCTGAGCCAAAGCCACAAGGCTGCTCCGCCTTCAATTACACAAAGCGGGGACTTAAAGTTATGGGAGGCTTCAGAGGAGCGCTGAAATCTATGAGGAGCCACAGAGCCTTCCCAGCACGTGCAGGAGACCGGCTCGGGAACTCAACCCAAAGAAGTCAGAACAAGTGGAGTAAGAAAAAGGGCTGTTACTAGGTTATTTGGAGAATTATCAAGTCCCCACAGTTACCATGTCACATCGGGGAGTGAACAAACATCACAAATGAACATATTCCAGCGTAAAGGAACTACTTGATAACACGTGATTGTGTGTGCTCGAGGAGTCCCCTCACCCATCCATCACACGCTGCTTCTCACCCTCCCTCGGCACGAGAATTCCACGCCACCCTGGGAACACAGTGTGAAGGAAACTCCAAATCTTGCGAACAAGGCGGCACATGGCGGCATCTGTGAGTGTGATCTTGGCTGACGGTGAACTATTGAAGGAGACCTGAGCTCCTGACTGATGCAAACGGCAGAAGGAGAGAGCACCGAGGGTAACAGGCGACCTCCTCAGCGCCGATGCTGCCCGGGTGACGACGTTCTCTGTTTTGAGCAGTACTGCAGCCAGGGCCTTTCAGAAAGGACTGCAACAGCCACGATTCCTGCCCATGCCAGGAACCACACAGCTGTGGACTGTTAAATAGCCAGACCTGCAGGAAATTTGCCAGAAAACAGTGCAACGAATATGCTTCACCTACACTCTCAGCTCTTATCATCTGCCATGTTCACTTTATCCGGCACGGTCATGCTCACACTTGACACACACACACCACACACATGCAGGCATACACACATACCACACACGTACACACACACGCACATGTACACACATACAACACACAAATGCATACACGCGCATTTGCATGCCCACAGCACACACAACACACATGCACATATGTGCACACATAACGCACATACACCACACAAGCACATACATCTGTGTGCACACACACACCACACAAATACATGCACACATGCACGTTTCCTTTCTGCTGAAGCACTAGCGGTCTGTTGCAGGCATCACAACATACTCCATCTCTACCACGTGTCTCCTAAAAATGGAGACTGCCTCCTACATAACCATCATACAATGATCACACTCAGAACTTTAACGAGGACCCCACAAGATACTCTAATGCACAGCCCAGAGTCAACTGCACACACCCCGCACCATCACTCACGTCCTCCAGAACTCCACTTCTCTCAACCCAGGAACGTGCATTAGCTCAGGCTCGAACCTCTTTCGTCTCCCCCAACCTGGAACTGCCCAACTTCTTCTCCCTTGCAATCCAAACCACAGCAGCACACAACATCCCTCAGTTCAGGTGTGTCTACCTGCTTCCCGGTGAGGGGCGTCAGGCCATGCATGACAGGAGTATGCCACAGGAGGCACGGATGTCTCCCTATGACGTGACAGCAAGAGACACGGGCCCACAACGTGTCCCACATCGATAATGTTGAGTGTGGCCACCTGGCTGCAGGGGCGCGGCAGACATCCCCATTACCAGGCAGCCTCCTACCTGGTGACAGCGAGGACTCTGCAGCTCCGTGAGGTCCTGTCCCCGCAACCCTGCTCCCGCTGGCGTGCACATCCACTGACGGCTTCTGCCTGGGTCAGTTACTGCACTGAGGGCTGCAGAACTGTGACCTACTGGTTCCATCCATGCTCTGTGTTACTCTATAGTGACTAAGGACACACACTGAGCCAGCTCCGCCCCCCACTCATCTTTCTCGAGCACCTACGAGTCCCTCACAGCCTGGGGAGAGGCCCTTCCCTCTGTGGGCTGTGGCTTCCATCTTCACAGGAGGAGTGGGAGCAGGCCAGTCTCAGCCCCGTCCACCTGGAGGAACCGGCCGTCCGGGTGCTGGCCAGGCCCAGCCACAGCACCATGAAAGCGGAACAGTCTCCATCATTACGGGGCCAGGCAGCGAGTGAGACTCAAAGGAGCCTAGGGGCACAGACTCAAAGGAGCCTAGGGGCACAGACTCAAAGGAGCCTAGGGGGCTTAGCCTGGCAGGAAGCAGCTAAGCCCCCACCGGGCCGTGGGTAGTCAGATGTCGTCCCCGCAGTCATCACACGAGCCCTGGAATGGTCTGCCTGGAGGCTGGCTGTGGAGACAGAAGTTCCTTCCAGCCTAGGCCCCACCTTTTGTGCACTGAGACTCACACACTGACTTAGACCCTCACCCTCGTCCCTGGAGAGGAAATTAAAGGACACTACGGCACCAAAGCATCCTTTCATCCTCACGACACACTGCGGATGTATGAGGATGACAGCGCACAATAAAAGGCAAAGACGGAGGGAAGTCCACTGCAGGCTGGCAGAAACCCGGCATACGTGTGCACATACACACACTGCCCGCATGCTGGCTGCACTAACCTGCTTCTCATCGTGCCTAGGATTTGATAATTACCTCAAAGGCAAAATGGCGCAAATGCCCAATCAGCTTACAAAATCGCAAAAGCAGGCACTTGTATGTCATGTTTAAGAATAAGAAACCCCTACTTACATCATTAACTCATTCAGTCCTCCTGGCAACCCTCAGAAATCAGTGATATTATTACTCCTGTTTTAAGAGGAGAACACAGGCCTCCAGGCTCAAGTTACTTGCCCAGGGTCACACAGCTAAGGAGGCCACCTGCGGGAGGGAGAGGCAGGAGTCTGGGTCTGAGTCTATTCTGTGAACCAAACTCTTCGTCCCCTCCACTTCCGTCCACCTTTTCTGCCACAGGACAGAGTGTAACAAGTACAGAGACTTTACTGGAGGAGCCGTTTGGATGATTTTTTTCCAGGTTAATTTTGATGACAAGGCATCTTTGCACTAAGTGCTGAAGAGAACTCCACCTGAGCTGAAGATCCAACTTGACTGCAAATGAAAAACGTTCCATCGCTGCACGGCAATTCTGTTTTGGCTTCAGCACACAAATGTGCTGCTGATGGAACTTGTGGGGCTGGTGTCAGTGCTGACGAACCAGGGATGACTCTGCCCGTCTGATATCCAGGCCCTCGGCTTGCAGGGGGAAGTCAGAGTTAGCTGCATTGTTCTGGGACACAGTGGCCTGAATCCTGGTGCTCCAGTGTCCTCTCTGCAGACACCTGGGGCCATGAGGACAGCAGAGGGAGTGAAGGCTGAGGCCCTGGGGACAGGCAAGACAGACTGTCTTCCATCCTCAAGGCTGTGGGCTCCCAGAACAGGCCCCCCAGCCTCTCCTCTGCCCATCCCTGCGGGCTCCCAGAACAGGCCCCCCAGCCTCTCCTCTGCCCGTCCCTGCCAGCGCTGAGGGCTCCCAGAACAGGCCCCCCAGCCTCTCCTCTGCCCGTCCCTGCCAGCGCTGATCTAATGGAAGGTCTGGCAAAGGTCTGCAAACTGCAGCTCTTGGGCTGGCTGCCTGGTTTTGTAAATAAAGCTGTATTGGAAGACAGCCACTCCCCCGTTCCCCCACGTAGTTTCTGGCTGCCTTCACCCTGCGAGGGCAGAGTTCTGGAAAGCCAAGGCAATTTACAAGCTGGCCCCTCATGAAAGAGCTGGCTGACACCTGGCTGGAGTCAGATTCTGGTGCTCACAGCGAATTGCCCCTGAAATGTGTGCACCCTGCGTCTGGAAGCAATCCTCCCGCCTTTGTGAAGTTGTGGGCCGTGGCACGATGCCACTCTCCTCTCCCACGCGGGTCCTCACTGTGGCCGCACAAGGCACAGCAACGCCTCACAAATGCGTGTCTCATACATTTCACGGCAAGGCCAGTTTCACGGTGGAAACTTCAGCAGCAGAGCCCAAGCAAGGGTCAACTTTTCATTCACTGTCTTGGAAAGATTTCCCAAACAACTGAGATGGCATCTTTTTGAGGAAATTAGATTGTATTTTTCTTTGACCATTTTCCTGAAGAATTTTGGAAATCACACATAAAGAGTGGCGGGTCCCCCACTTTCTTTCGTTGGAGGAAATTGGTGAGCATGCAGGCTTTCCCAGAGAAATCCGACCCAGAAGACGGTGTACCTCCAGATCACAAAATTACGACTCCACTCCTCAGGAAAGAGGCACACCCTCCCCTCCCTCCTCATTTCCCTCGTCCTCCCCACCCTCCCCGTCTCCCTGGCGGTCCCCACCCTCCTTGCTCTCCTTCTGGGTTCTCAGGACCCAAACCTACTTGAATCGATGCTGCAGGAGCGAGCTCTGCTCCTATGGAGGGGGCCTGTCTGGAGGACAGCAGAGGCAGGGGATAGACAGAGCAGGTCTAGACGGCATCCTTGGGGTCCCTGGGTCCAGCCATGCCTGAAGCCCACCTGCTCCTCCCTTCTCAGTCCCCGAGCCCTCAGTTTCCTGGCCTTCCACTTAAGCTGGTGTGAGATGGTTTTGTCCATCTACATGTTTGCCCATGACTGACACGGGCAGGTCTGTTGTCTTCCATTCCACAGCAGTGGAAACTGAGGCTCAGAGAGGTTAAGTCCCTTGCCCAAGGTCACACCATTGGGTCGAGGCGGGTGGGTAGGGTCTCCTAGCCTGTGCTTCTGATCTCCACTCCGCCAGCCCAGGCCCAGGCCTGCAGTTCCTGTGTGGCCTTCAAAACGCTGCACATTTCCTTGCCTGAGTGGTGAAGCGCCCGGCAGTTGTGTCCTGAGTTCTCAAGCAGTGTTGTGCATGGGTGTGACCGTGTGTGAGGCGGGCATCCCTGTGGCCAGCCACCCCGCAAACCCACACACACCCACGCCCCTGAGCTGGGCACCCCCGAGACTCACTTGGTGTGGGCGGGCCAGATGTTGTTCAGGTAGTAGTGCATGCTGTGGTACAGCAGACCCACGACGGTGGTCCAGGCTGCAGAGAGAGCAGAAGGGCAGGCGCCGTCAGTGTTCCAGGCCACGGGCAGAAACACACAAAGCCCCTCACCCCGCTGTGCGTGGTGCCGCCCCTCACTCCCAAGAACCCTCTGGGGAGAAGGAAGTGAAGGACACTAGGGCAGAATTTATAAGGACAAAGACTGCGGCAACTCAGCAGCATGACAGCGGCTCCCTGCTCCATCCCCTGAGCCAGCTCCAGACACATGGAGGCTGAAACCCCCCAGGAGAGCCAGGCTCACCCAGGGCATCACATGGATCTCAGAGCCCCTGCAGGGAGAAGGCTTCTGTGAGCCAACGGGGGGCAGTGCCAGCCTCCAGCCTTGCCCCACAAGCGTGTACCGTCTGCCCTTGGCACGCGAAGGATTTAGGGGACCACTGAGTGAGGTAGAATGCAGGTTTTCAAGGGGCAGCAGCCACAGGGACACCTGTATGCCTTCGCCTGGCCACCCCTCTATTATATCCAGCCACGAAGCAGAGTCACATGTGCTCTTGCTGTTTCACTCCATGGCTCGGCCATGGCTCTGCCAGGATTGGCAATCAGGGCACTCCCAGCAGCTCACGTGGCCAGGAGATGCTGGTGGATGTCGGCACCATCCCTGGGCCCTCCCTGCTGATGCTGGTGGAAGGTGGCATCGTCCCTGGGCCCTTCCCTTGGCTTCTGGGGTAGGGACATCCCTGCCTCTGCCCTAGGAGCAGGGCACACCTGACATCACGCTAGGTGAGGACAGGGCACAGAACCAGTCAGGGCAACTTTCCTACAGACAATCAAGATGGCGGCAGGTGCAGAGGCAGGCTCCCCACTGCAGAGGGAGGTGTCTGATCAGGGCTGTCCTGGTCCCCACCCCTAAGGCAGAACCCTGGGAAGGAGGCGTGGCCTCTGGCCAGGGTGACAGGGGCAAAAATCCGAGGCTCTCCCGTTTGCCTGAGGTCCCCAGGGAGGGAAGGAGAGGAAGGAGATGTCTGCAGAGTCCTATTCGCTTTCCAGGAACCACAGACGGTGACAGTCATTGTAGCAAAAAATGGCCAGGGCCGTCTGGGCTCCCAACGGTGCTTCCTGGTCAGAGGCAGGAGGTCCCCTGAGCCTCTCAATTTTTATTATGTGACTCAACTTGGGCCCACACAGGAGTGGAACCCCAGGTTCCTGAACGGATGAACCCCTCACCTGGCCCACAGCTACCTGAGCAGGGAGGGGAGGTGGCTCCATCTTTTTCTCTTCAGCTGATCAGGCGTGTGCCAATTTAGGAGGATGTAGGTAGGATGACTTCCCAGTGGGCCGGATTCACCAGGCGAGCAGGTTTAGATGCCCCCAGATCCCACCCCAAATTCCAGTTCAGGGGCCTGGAGTGGGCAGAGCATTAGCATCACTAAGGAACCTCTCAAGTGTGGCCATGAGGGTGGCCCGAGGACACGCTTTGAGAAGGGCTGCCCAGAGCCCCTCTCCTGCAGGACAGGACAGGCAGTCCGGGGGAGCCCCGCAGCTCACTGGCGCGGTGGGCACCCACCAAAGCCTGGGGACTCTTCAGAAAGACTTGTGGAAGCCGCCCCGGAAGGGAGGCCGGCGCAGTCACACTCACCGCGGCTGTGGAAGGCCTCGTGCGGGATCTGGATGAAGCTCTGCCCGTGGGCCGGGAAGCGGTAATGCGAGGAATTCACGGTCTTGGGCAGGACTTTGGCCACGGAAAACTCTGCGGCGGAAGCAGCGAGAGAGCGGAAGTTCCGTCAGAGAGCTCACAGGCTGCAGGAAATCGGACTGCAAAACCCCATCTGCAAAACCCCATTTTCTTTTTTGACAGGACAAGCTCCCCACCGGAAGTATAATTACCTTTAGAAAGCATGACCCCAAAAAAAAAAAAAAAAAAAAAAAGGAAAAAGAAATGAAGAGCCCAGGCAGTGATTGCCACGGAGAGGCTCAGTATTCCGGCCCAGGCACGGCTCCTCACCTGGGGCGCCCTCCGCCCCGGCACAGCCCCCGGCTCTCAAGGCCGGTGCAAGGATGGGCTGTGCTCAGCGATGCAGTGACATCGGCTCCTCCCCAAGTGCAGCAGGCGAGGGCAACATGGCCCAGAGGGAGAGGTCTGGGCTGACAAACTGCCGCTAAATTAACCCAGGTAGCTTCAGCGCACGTTCCCCAGCTTGGCTCTTGCAGGGAAGTATCAGCACGATAATACACTGCAGGTGAAGACTTTTAAAATCGAAAGGTCATCACCTCTGCCTCTACAATTAGACAACTGTGACAATTATCCTGCAGCGCCGCTGAGAGCAAGCCAAGTCCAGAAACCTGAGGCCGCCCCTTTCATACCATAGACTCTTGCTGGCACTGCTGCTTCTGCCTCCCGCTCTGAACTGAGACCATCACCCCAGGGCAGGAGCTTGGCTCCCAAGTCACTGGGAAAGGCTTATGAGCCCTGTCTGCACATGGCCGATCACTCCTGCCCTGATCTGACCACGGGTTTTCCTTCCAAATGTGGTTTGCGGGAGACAGAGCAGTCAGGGAGACAGAGCATGGCTCTCTGCTAAGGGTGTAAAAAGGCAGTTTTCCGCAGCCTCCAGCCCCCGCCCCTGCCATGTGGCTCACCCTTACAAGCGACAGCTACCTGCCACGGCAGAGGAGCCCTCCATGGTGACCTGGGGCGTGCTGGCATGCAGGTTGTAGGAAATGTGGCCCATGACGGTGTCAATAGTGTGGATGAGACTCAGTACCACGGCGCTGTCCTGCAGCAACACAAGAACCAGGAGCCATGAAAATCCACCCCACTCAGCCGGGGGACCAGGCAGGTGCACCAAGCACACAAAATCAAGCTTCCCCACGTCGGCCACGAGGGAGGAAGAAGTCACACAACTGCCCCTCCCCATGGATCAGGAGGTGACCACATGGAGGCCACACGCCTAACTGAGCTCACAGAGCATGGACACAGCCCGGGTGGACCCATCACCCCAGCCATTGCTGGCTCCTGCGTTTCTACACTTAGACACTGTGACTGAGGGGACCCGACTCCTGGTCCTGCCTCCTCCCTGAACTCACAGAGGAACTCTCAGCACATCCCAGATCCTCCCCCTTCCTCCCTGTGCTTCACAAGGAGGGGCTGATCACCCCCCAGGTCCACTCTGGCATGGGGACACCAGCAGCTCTGTCCCCTTCTCCGTGAAGGGTGGCTGCTTCTGAGGTGCCAGCAGCCCAAGCTGTTTCCCGCTGCCTCGACTTCCCAGGGGCTTGCTTTCTACTCCAAGAGCCCTCTTCTCTTTCTGAGTTGCAGAGCAGAGGATCCTGGTAGACACTGCCCCCAAGAAAGCAGGGGGTCCCCCCGGGCACCTGCATCTGTGGACAGTGCAGGGCCCGGTGCTCAAAGCTCAGTGCACGCGTCCGCTCTCGGGCTGACTGCCCGCATCCTCAGACACGCGTCACCAAGGGAGAGCCCTCTCTTAAGCCCCGCTGAGCCGGGCCACTGAGCTCTGCCTTCACTGCTTCTCTCCTTCCCGCCTTTCTGGGGAAGAACCTGCATGCTGCTAAGTCCTCAGCATTCTCCCACAAACATGCACTCCAGGAGAGCCCCATGAGTTGGAAATAGAATGCTGAGGCCAATTTTAGCCATTTGCTTTTAGGCCCATGGTCTGATTTCAGTCACCAGGCCCAGTTAAGCACATGGAAGTCTGTGTTTCTGGCATGCATGTGGGGTAGAGACCGATTCACGTGTTCTCTTCAATGCATACTGGACCCTGCCTGAGTCTGGACAGTTTCCTGGTTATTCACATCTCATAACAGATTTGCATATTTTGCATTCAAAAGCAGTTAATTCAAAATCGTGCACAAAATACGTCTGTCTGGATCTTCTGTTGGCTGTCCTCTGGGTGTTCCCAGCCTGCAGCTTTGGACACAAAGTCCCCTTGAAATCATGAAAACAGTAGTACCTTTTAAAAAGGAATTGGTTTCTGGGTAAGACTGTATCCATCTTACATTCTTGAGCCTTTTTTTCTCCCTTTGCCAATGTTACACCTAATCTCATTCCACTTGAAGTTATTCAAACAAAAGTTTATCAAATGTAAACTCTAACACAATCTTATTAATAATGAGAGAATAAAATGCCACTTCTGCCTCTCAAACTGGCAAACATTTTTAAATAATATTGGGGTTTAGGAGAATGAGCACTTTAATATCATGGTGGTGTGGTTGGGACCCTTCTGGGCCAAGGCAGTTAAGAGTCCTCCTCACCCTTCTCTGGCCCTGCCTGGCAACCTTGGAAACCACATGTTGAGAAGCCAGCACCAGAAGACAGATGGAGCCAGGATCCCTGAGTATCTGGGGTGGAGAAGAGGCTCCTCTGACCCACTCTGGACTTTGCATGGGGGAGAAGTAAATTTCTACTGTGCTGAGTCACTGAGATGTGGGGATCTATTTGTTACTGCAGCACACCCTGGCCTGTCCTGACTAATACAAGGTTGCAGGTGAATACTTAATATCATTGGAAAGTGTTATTGACATAATTAAGGAAAAACAAATTAAATCAAATATACAATATATTTGTTGAATACATATATATATGAGTGAATTGAAAACTAGACTATAAGGAAATATACAAGTGTTAATAATCTCGCAGTTTTAGGATTTGAAGTGATTTTTATGTTTTTTATTATCTGCATTTGCTAACTTCTCCACAACTATTTACTTGTTTTCTTTTTAAATAAGTACAATCAATAGTTATTTTAAGAAATAAAGGAAAAATTATTTCATTCTCCTTTCTAGCTATTTTGAGTACCAAGAACAAGAGAAGCATTTTTGGCACCTTAATCATGAAGTACATATTGTCACGTGTTCTCCTTTTTCTTACTAAATACAGTGGCTTTTAACATGAAAAGCTATTATCATTCAAGAATGATGTGATGGTACAAAAAAAAAGTACATATTATATAAAATGACCAAGATGAACCAAATACACATTTCTCATGGGGGAAAAAAACATCATTTCCTTCTTCCATCCTTCTTCCATGTTTAGGACACTACCACATTACTGACACATGTGCATTTCTTTTGCCTTAGAGGACAAAGCATTCTGAATCAGTTGCACATCTACTCAAAATGAGCTCTTTTATCCCAGATGTCAGGACTGGGAGACACATTATTCTTTTTATGGATGTGAACTGGGCCATATTATGCCACTTCTAGGAAGACAAAATGGTTCCCAAGGCACATACGTTTTGAAGATCAAAATGTTCTTTTCTCTCTCTCTCTCTCTTTTTTTTTTTTTTTGAGATAGTCTCACTCTGTTGCCCAGGCTGGAGTGCAGGGGCACAATCTCGGCTCACTGCAACCTCTGCCTCCCAGGTTCAAGCAATTCTCCGGCCTCAGCCTCCCGAGTAGCTGGGACTACAGGTGCCCACCACCATGCCCGGCTAATTTTTGTACTTTTAGTAGACAGGGTTTTGCCATGTTGGCCAGGCTGGTCTTGAACTCCTGACCTCAAGTGATCCACCCGCCTTGGCCTCCCAAAGTGCTGGGATTACAGGCGTGAGCCACCACAACCGGCCATGTTCTTTTCTCTTACCTCTGACACAGCAATCCAACCAGGCAATAGAAGGACCTCTCCCGCGGCTTTTAAGAAGGTCTAAGGGTGGACAAAATGACACTGCTCAGCACCAGTCCTTAAGCGACAAACTTGAAGACCCTCAGTTTTCCCCACATCTTCCAATGCGTCGCTATCAACCACCAGTTCAGTTTTACGCACAGCAGTCAACAAAAATAGCTGAGTCATGGACCACGTGACATGTTACAAAGCCCTTTTATGGACGTTATCTTATGTGCTCCTGTGGCAGCCCTGTCAAGTCAGTGACCAGCACTGGAACATCAAAATGAACACTGCTCAGTGACGGGAGGGGCCCCAGCACAGCGCCTGGGGGACATGGCAGGCCCTCGGCGAAAGCCTGTGGAGTGGAGGGACGCGTGGGAAAACCATGGCCTACTGGATGTGCCTTTCTTGGGGTGAGTAAGCAAACTGATGTGGAAGTACTTGTGTTAACTGAAAATGACCTACTTGGTCCAGAAAACAGAAGCTACTTGGGCCTTTGGTCAGGTCACCTTAAAACCATGTTTGGTTCAGCTCACTATTATTCTAAGGAAACAATGAAATTAATTTCTACTGCTTCCTAATCAGGCGATTTAAATGAGAACACATGGATTTTCTACTTCTTTTGAAAAAAGCAGAAGCTTGGACACCCCCTAGCCCATATTCCCATAAAACCATAATTGACCACAGCCGAGTGGCACCACCTTAGTAGATGTGTCCCCAGCCCACTCCAGACCCCGCCATCCCCACTGCCTCACACCCTCACATCCGTTCCACTCATCTGCATTCTTCACACACGCTCTTCACTGTGTGTCTCCAACTATCAGCGCCAAAATTAAACTTAGAGGCTGACCAAAATCTCCCATATTTCCGCTAAACCGCCATCTCCAGAATACTCACCTTATTCCACACTCTGAGACACTAAATACTTAGAGAACACATCATCAAAACTCATCGTTCATTCATTTATCTTTATGAGATAAATATTTTTTGAGACCTTAGAGTGCAAGGCCTTAAGTATTAATGAAGTAGGGGATAACCACCATCCTGTCTTCACTGAGCTGGAGCAGGGGCAGCAAACTTCTTAAAGGGTCACACAGGAACGAGGTCAGGCCTCAAGGACCATGCCCTGTGTCACAAACACTCAACTCTGCCATGGCAGTGCAAAAGCAGCCGCAGACAATACGCAAACAAATTGGCATGCATGAATAAAACTTTATTTACAAAAGCAAGCAATGGACCAGATTTGGCTCAAGGGCCATAGTCTGCTGACTCTTGATCCAGAGCAGTCTGTCACATAGAAACATAATATGGGCCACATTTACCATTTTAAATTTTCTAGCAGCCAGCACCTTTTAAGAAGTAGGAAAAAAAAGGTAAAATTAATTTTAATAATGTATTTTACTTAGCTCAAAAACCTAAAATATTATCATTTCAATACAGAATCCATATGAAATCACTAATTAGATATTTCCCTTTTCTTTGCACAAAGTTTTAGAAATCCAGTGTGCATCTTACAGTCACAGCACATCTCTAGTTGGATGAGCCACACGTAGCTAATCAGCACCTCATGGTATAATACAGGAAATGATTCCTTGCCATTTTCCTGTCCAGCTGCTAGTGGACAGGTAAGAAGCCAGGACACCATAGAAACTTGTAGAATGGGGCCAGGCACAGTGGCTCACACCTGTAATCCCAGCACTTTGGGAGGCCGAGACAGGTGGATCATTTGAGGTCAGGAGTTCAAGACCAGCCTGGGAAACATAGTGAGACCCCATCTCAACTAAAAATACAAAAATTGGTCAGGTATAGTGGGGCACGCCTGTAGTCCTAGCTACTTGAGAGGCTGAGGCAGGAGAATCGCTTGAACTCAGAAGGCGGAGGTTGCAGTGAACCAAGATCATGCCACTACACTCCAATCTGGGTGACAGAGCGAGACTCTGTCTCAAAAAAAAAAAAAAGAAAGAAAGAAAGAAAGAAAGCAACTTGTATCACACTCAGTTCAGGGACCTGCTGGGTGGTTGGGCCACAATGACACAGTTAACTGCTGCCACTACAGTGTCAGGTGCGAGATAGACCCTTCTAGCCAGTGAGGAAGAGATCACAGGGCCAGGCAGGCGGTGGGCCACAGTGGCTCCAGGCCTGCCCTAGGGCAGGACACACACTTCTACAAGATTCTGAGGGGTGACCTTTAGGACCAGCACCCCACAGGCAGCTTTCCAGAGAACTGGACACGCCCTAGGCCACAAGCCCCACGAGGGCAGGGGCAATGCCCGGCATATCCATCACACATCCCCAGCACCAAGCCCAGCAGCTGGCAGAGAGCGGAGCCTGCACGATGTGCTCAATTAATAAAGTCATCAGTGAACCCACTCATGAGAATGCAACTGTGGCTCATTAAGCCATCCATTTTATAATTAATGAAGCAACCCACACACAAGTGGGTGTTTAATCAACATTCGTCTAATTAATTAATCCTCGCTTGGACTCCCTCCTTCCCGAGACACCCGGAAACACAGAGGGAGCCTGCTAAGTGTCTGCTGCACGTTCCTGAGGATGCTTCAGGGTACCCATGGCTAGTCAGAGGGGAGGGCGCCCATGCCCAGAGTGGGTGTTTATTGAGCGCTGACTGTGTACCACGGCAAGAGGGGAGGGGGCGCCAGTGCCCAGAGTGGGCATTAAGCCCCGACTGCATACCTTAGCTAGAGGCAGAGCACTAGTGCCCGAAGTGTGAGCGTTTATTAAGTGCTAACCGCATAGAAGGCACCGCTTGTCACAGTGACCCCTGGTAGCCCATCTCAATAAAAACAAGAGTGTTAGTATTTATAAAGCACTTACTGCATACCAAGCCCTGTCTCGGTGTCTCACACCCGCTCCTGTGCGTACATGCATAACGACCTTCCAGCTTGTCTACACCCACTCTTTCCACCCAACACCCCGAGGACCCTTCCCTTGAGAGCCGGGAAGTGCTCCCACACTGGACAGCCTTTGGCCACACCCTAGAGTTCCTTCATGATTGGCTGAGTCAGTGGCCAATCACACTCCCCTTGGTTAGTGATTGGTCCAGGTGTGGTCATGTGGCCCAGCTCTGGCCAATGAGATTTGAGGGGGGGGTCTCAGCAAAGGGAACCATGGGAAACATTTCCCTCTGTCTGGTAGAGAGTCCCCCAACTCGTTCTTTCCATTCTGGATGTCCTAGGGTAAGGCGAGGGTGCTGGGGACCTGCAGCTGGGCGAGAAAGGGGCCGAGTGCCGAGAGAATTGTAGTGGTGCCTATCCAGCCCCTGCAGTGAGTGAAGACTGAGTTAGTGAATCCTAGGATTCCCACCTCTGGGCTTCCTGTTGCCTGAAGCAAGTACACGGCCTGAAGTCCAAGTCCGCTAAGCAAAGGGTTCTGTAGCTCCCAGCCAGAAGCACCTGAGAGATGTGGGTGATCTCATTGTCCCCATGTCACAGTGGGCAAGCAGGTGTGCTGAGGTTAAATAACCTGCCCACGGACACAGAGCCGGGAGTGGTGGAGCTGGGGTCAAAGTCAGGTCTCTGACTCCAGAACTGCTGAGTCCTGCAGCTCCATGTGGTTCCCTTTCAAGGCCCTCTCAGACTCCGTGACCTGCCATCACTCCCTCAACCCTGAGCCTCTTGAAAGCAGGGAGTAGCAGCACTTGGTCATCCTGAATCCCCAGAATCTAGCATGTTCTATGAATGAATGAATGAATGAATGATGAATGAATGAATGAATGAAATCTGGGAAGTCTAACTTCTCTTCCGTGGACAGAAAAGCTGACGACAACCTCCCTCCATTCCAAGATGTCTCAAGTCCCTGAACACATTTCTCTGCATGTGCTTCTTTGGGTATGACTTCAGCAAGGAAATCAGTAAGAACTGAGAACACTTGAAAAGTGTACCCAGCACTGTTCTGTGCACATAGGAACCCACTTATCCCTGATGAAGTGGGCGCTGTCATTATTTCCTCCACATCTCAGAGGAGCCAAGTGAAGCAGAGATGTTATGTCACTTGACCAAGGCCACAGAGTAACTGCAGATCAAAGGTCAATGCAGCGGTGGGGCTCCATATACCCTGCTCCTAACCCATATGCTATGCTTTCAAGGTGAGCCAGTCTCAAAACCCCTTCTGTCTTTGCATTCACCAAGATAAGCCCTAGCCCTGAAACAGAAGACAGCAAGGCCACAAGAGCCCACGATCCACCCTCTGCCTTCACCTGGAAACTATTTGGAGGAGTAAAAAGAGAAAGCATATTGATTTTAATGCCATAAATGTTGCATTCTCTAAGTGTTTAGATAGCTTTGGGGATTCCCACTGTGCACAGGCTGTGGTCCATGCCCCATGGCTGGATCTGCCAGTGAGGCCCCTCCACATTTTACCTGTTGCCAGGAGGTAGCAGAGTTTATTTAGACTAGGAGTCGCCAACCCACACACCCACGGGGGCCAGGTGGCTGCACAGGGGGGGACCAGGCAGGTTGGAC